GATTCATTTTTCCTATAAGGCAGTTTTCTTTTATCTCATGTGATTCTGTATCGGCATCCTTCGTTCCTGATCTGGCTTACCTTAAATAATATCTCTGTTCTGGTTTAGATAAATTTGAGTATTATTTTTATTTGTTTGAATACTATCCCCTTTTCTGTTGTTTTTATTATGGTAATCGTTTTATTACGGTATATTCAGTCTAATTCATTTTCCCTATAAAGCAGTTTTCTTTAATCTCATGTAATTCTGTATTGGCATCCTTTAGCATGCATCGTAAGCGTCAGTGTTTTGTCCTTGACCTGAGTCCTAGTCCTCACCAAATGTTTAAGTTCCAATCCTCATAAGATGGATTTTTGTCGTCTCGCTTCCGTTCGTCATTCTATTTTATCGTCTGTATCGTGACACTCAAGTCAAATATGTTTTAAATTAATCAATAGTCTCAAACTTATCAAGTGCTCGTCACAACGTCACTTAGTGCCCATGACTCCGAAAATAGATTTCAACTTATTTATGCTTTCAGCCAACCTTACCCAAGAAGACAACACCAGGAAAAATGCGCCTGTAGTCAGAAGCATGGGTAAACTAGCATTAAACATTTTTAAATCTTTCGATGTGAATGTGGGAACCGTCAAACACATCGACATTGTCACTAAAGTTGAAGCTCATCATTCACCCAAAGTCAATGTAACTGTTGAACGTTTAACCCTATTCAACAGAAAACAACCCAAGTAGGATTTTTCTAAGGAAAAGTTTCAATAAAGTTTCAATTTATTGAAATGATGTTGCCATAGAATTGCAATTCTCAATCAACTTTTCTCCAATTTGCCCCTATTTTCACTCCAGACAGTTGCCGCGCCTAGAATAGAGAACATAGGCAACATACAAATGCAGCAAAAATAGCTGTTCTATTGCTTTGGGAAATCTAAGCTGCTCCATAGTGGCTTTTAAATAGCCTGTATAATCTTTCTTAACTGCATATTTTTGATTTCAGAGAGAAACGTTCCGTGGAAAAAGCCGTAGAAAAAAGCGGAAACCCGAGAAAAACAGGTGAACAACTTGACTCATCTATTGCAGCACTAAGCTCTCCTGCAGCAGCACTCAACTCATCTACTGCAGCACCCAACTCATCTACTGCAGCACCCAACTCATCTACTGTAGCACCCAACTCATCTACTGCAGCACCCAACTCATCTACTGCAGCACCCAACTCATCTACTACAGCATCCAACCCATCTACTGCAACAGGTAAGATACAGTAGCGGCAAGCATTTATATCCAGCTCTATTTCAACATAGAAAATTTGACCGATAACAGTGGTAGGTACGCCCCATAGGTCATACTTATACCAGATTTTGCAATCAACCGAGGCGACTTTCTTTGGAGCTTAAGGGTAGATTCTGGGATTAGAGAAACTGTGAACTTACGATTCTGGGATTACGAAAGCCGTGCCCTTATTTTTGTCATAAGTTAGGGATGAATAGTTCAAAAACAGCACATGGAATCATTGAGCGCCCATTTAGACAATTGTTCAGGCTGATAAAGAGGGTAACATTTCTCAGTTTGATCGAATTCTATGGGAAGTAAGTAATTTTTCCAAAAGTGGTGTGCGTTCTTCCCAATGTGAAAATTTCCCTACCCTTTGATTTTCTTTGAAAAAATCCAGAAGTTCAGAGAAGACCCCAATTTTCAGGTCCAACCCCCCTCCCCCCCATGTATTCCATATAGGTAGGCTTGAGGGGTTTTAGGACCCTATTAGTCAGAATCTAAGGGATAGTCCCCAGTCTCCCAAGGTCCTACGTTGTTTTAGCAGGCTAGCATGTCTCAGAGGCACGTTCTGTCCCCCTAACTTTTGGGACCTGTATTTTGGAGAGGGAAGGGTTGATCCTGGATTTCTTGGTATCATTTAAATGACAATTTTCCATGTTTTTGGATTTTGATGAAAATATTATCAATTTTTGATGGGAACGACATGTGGCGTCCACGCCACACAGGCCACGCTCCTGAGCGTGGCTCACGAGTTGGCAACTACACCGAGAAAAAAAAAGATGTTAATTTGACACACCGCAGAATGTTTAAAGAACTAATAGGATTTTCTGTTGCATCAACTTCTTTAGCAATTAAACTAACATTTTCGTTTTGTTACTTCAACTAACTGTGCATTGACTAATTTGACATCTGCCAAAGAATGTTGAATCAACTTCAGTGTTTGCTGCTTCAACTTTTTTTGTCAACTGTAAATTTTACATCCTGCCAAATTTAGAAATGACAAATGTACAAGAATGTTAGATCAACTTCTTACTATGTTGCCTCAACTTTTAAATCAGCTGTAAGTTTAACATCACGTCGAACGTCTAAATAACAGCTATAATATAATGTTGTATGAACCACCCGTTTTGTTCCTTCAACTTTCCGGTTTTTGTAAAATCAACGTTCTGCGAAAAATGTTGAAAAATGTATTTCAGCGAGCATATAGTGCACACCTCGCGGAGACGATTATGTATGATTACCACGCGGCACTCAGTGCAGTGCAACTCTCAGCCCTCAACCCACCCCTCCCCCTCCATTTGCTATCGTTACGCTTAAGAACAACTACGCCTTGAAGAACATTTCAGATGGCATTTCCCGAGAAAGTCAACACGAACATACAGGGTCTTCATAAATTTCAGCTCCCGCCCCCTCCATAACTTTTGAACCATTGCATTTAGCCAGATGAAATTTTTAGTGTGACTAGATCAATAGAAACTAATTTTGGGCCTACTTAAAATTTCGGGGTGGCACCCCCGGGCTGTTGGGCGGACCCCATTTTAAAAGTTTCAAAGGCAACCCCCAATTTAGGGCATTTTCAAAAAAAGGATAAAAAAAGAAAATTTTTGAGCTAAAGAACCAAACTTGGGTTTCGAATGTTCAGAATTACAAGCACTTTCAAGAAAAATTGCAAATTGTGACTTGTGACCTGACAAATTGTGAAGTTCGCATGCCGCCTCCATCGGCTACTCCGCTAACCGCATCCCCCCCCCCCCCCCCCGGTAACTTTGAAAGTTTTCACCTAACCTTTTGACAGTGTTGGTAAGTCATACGGTACCTAGTCTTGAGCATACTCGAACTGTCGGGGCAACCCCCCTCCCCCTGGTCTCTTGGTAGACCTCAAAACAAAAATATCAGTGACCAGTTGCTAACGTTCCAAAGTTACGTGGGTGGGTGGGGGAAGTGCGGTCCGCGGAGTAGCTGATGGGGGCGGCATGCGACCTTTTGTCAAGTCACAAGTCAAGATCAATTATGAATAGTAACTATTGGGTTAATAAACAACACCCACTTTTTCTTAACAGATGGATTCTAAGAAATCCTTTACTTCCCAAAATCTTAAAAAGCGCTTTGCCGTGCTCGCTTATGAGAGATCCTGTTTTCCAATTTTTCCAACCTAATACCATCTTCTTAGACATTCCTAAAAAAAAACTATCTGATCACATTTCAATCCAAATGAACTTTAATGAATTAATGAGATTAAAATTTAGGAACTTTACCCAGTATTATACTGATGGCGCCAAGACGGCTGAATACACCACGTCAGCCTTTCTCTCTAATGAATTCTATAAAGTCTATTCTCTATCGGAATATAATTCTATATTTGAAGCCGAAACGTGGGCTATTCTCCAAGCCGTTGAACACAGTATTAGCCTTAATCTTTCCAATGTTGCAATTTGTACAGACTCTCATAGCGTATTAGTTAACCTGATTAATCAAAAACCGGACCTCCACCCCTTCATTGAAGAAACTAAAGAAATCCTATTTAGATACCGAGAAAGGAATATTTGGCTGATCTGGATCCCTAGTCACTCAGGAATATTAGGTAACGAAAGAGTTGATCAATTGACTAAATCTATTCATTTAGCTCAACCAATTGATAATAAAATCTTTTTTAAACAATTGTTCCCCCTTATCTCCCAACAAAACTTTAACGATTGGAACTCTGATTGGATAGCTTGTACGTGGAAAGGCCAAAGACTAAAATCTCTTCTCCCTATTCTCTCTCGTAAACCATGGTTTTATAGACTTGACTGGAAACGCTCCCTTATTACGAATCTAATTAGACTTAGAATTGGTCATGGCCTGTACCCCACTCACTTGTTTAGAATTAACTTAACAGCCTCTAATTTGTGTGAATGTGGTTCCATTGGAAACCTAGAACATATCCTTTTCCAATGTGATAAACTTAAAAATAGAAATACCCTTTTTTCTGAACTTATAAATAAATTTGAAATCTTCCCACCCTATTCAACCCTGTATCTTCTTTCGGTCGGCGACCTCAATACCCTTAAATCCATAGCCCTTTTTCTAGATAAAAATGATATTCACCTCTAATCTACCAAATCTTCATTCTTACACTAATAATTTCCCTATACTTTTTTTTTTTCACTCCCACCAACCGTCTTACCCTCTGTTTTATTCAATCTACCTTTTGTCCAAACAAATCATTCTCTCTCACACATCCAATCCCTACCGTATGTTCACTTTGTTTGTTTTCCATTACCCAGTCTCTGGTCATAGGAAGTCGCTCTGCCGGGTATCAGAGCGTGAAAATGGTGAAGGGTTCTCACCCTCTCCCNACGTTCCAAAGTTACGTGGGTGGGTGGGGGAAGTGCGGTCCGCGGAGTAGCTGATGGGGGCGGCATGCGACCTTCACAATTTGTCAAGTCACAAGTCACAATTTGCAATTTTTCTTGAAAGTGCTTAATTCTGAACATTTGAAACCTAAGTTTGGTTCCCTAGGATTTTTCAATCGGCGCACACGCTTTTTTGAAAACAGGTCTATTTTTAAACTTTGATCGCAAATAACTTGGCGAGAAAAAAATTTAGAGTTCTCCACTTTAGCTCAAAAATTTTCTGTTTTTATCCTTTTTCTGAAAATGCCCTAAAAATGGGGGTTGCCATTTGAAACTTTTAAAATAGGGTCCGCCCAACAGCCCGGGGGTGCCACCCCAAAATTTTAAGTGGGTCCAAAATTCGTTTCATTGATGTAGTAAAAATTTCAGTTGGTTAAATACAACCGTTCAAAAGTTAAGGGGGCTCTGAACTTTTTGCGCACCTTGTATAAAATTAAGTCCAGACACATGCAGATTCAAATTTTCCCTTTATTTGACAAATATTTATGCGATTTGTTTAAAAGTTTTTGAAATACCGTGAAAACTCTCCGCTTCGGCCATTCTGCGCGGCCTTTGCTTAACCACGCTAATTGAATTCGAAAGAGCCTCGGCAGTGCCGCGCAAACGCCAACCAATAGCGGCCATTCTCGTATCAACCAATCACAATAGCCGGCTCGCACAACTGTTCCCGCGTCCCGGCTTCTAGAAGTTTGTTTGTTAGTTTGTTAGTTTGGTGATTAGGCCCTCAATTAAGTGCGGTGTTTAATTCAAACGTGTATTAAGTGTGGTGTCTCTTAATCCAAATTACTTCACAGTTTCGTTTCACATCTCACAATGCCGGTCTCCAGGTCAAGAGGACTAGTGAGGCGAGGGCGTGCCCTGCACAGTCGTTATATGAACAGAACATGCAACGTTCCTGTAAGTTCTTTCCCATCGTCATTTGAATACATCTCTCAGGTTTTTATCGCATCACTCTAAATTATGTACTCACATTATATACTCACTGTAAATTATCATATGCACACCTGTAAATGACTTTAGATCGGATCGGGGAAAACCTAAGTATGTGCATGATGACAGCTTCTAACCTTAGTCACACATCTCCTTTGATAGCCATATCTTTGCACGAACTTACTCCAACTTTTTGCAAATGGTTCAGCTAGACTCAGGTTTTAGCCAGTGCTGTTAGTTGCAGCAGTTGGTGCGCTCTCTTCTGTTTTCTAGTTTACGCTACGAGTGGCGCACAGTGGAGTATTATACCCGAAAAGCTGGCGAAAAGTCCAAAAAAAAAATTTGGTAAAAGTTTGGTAAAACAGGTAAATAATGATTCTCTGATATCTACTGCATGACATTGTGACAACAGAATCCGCTTAATATTACTGGATGGTCGAGGAAAAAAGGGTAAACCCAGCGGTTTCGCGCGCATCTTAGCTCTAGTTCAGTATTGTTTACGTTCAGCTTTTCAATCAAAGTGTGTACGCAGTGACAGGTACAAGCTACATCTGCAGGCTTATTGGCAGCCATTATTTATAGTAAGTAGTCCCTTTTTACATATATATTACTATAATTAGAAATTTGATTGTCTGGCATGTATATGCTGTTGTCAAATCGTTCAGTAATATGGGCATTTTCCATGAAGATGCTTAAATAAGATAGTTTCTGAATATTTGCCGGGCTGTGTCGGGCTGAAAATGAAGGATTTTCGTAAACTAAAACCCAACCGCAAGAGTCTCCAGCAAAATTTTTTTACCCAAATTCACCCTTTGAATTTCTGCGAATTTTTGAAATTGAGCTTTGTTTTCAAGCAAAAATCACGTACTTCCGAATTTTGGATCCTATATGTTTTTCAGGTCAATAATGTGAGCCTCAGCATTAAATGGAAGTCTCATGACACTCCTGGAGTTCTTTGTGTGTGATTCACATAGATTTGATATGTGACGTTGCCAAATTTACGTCAATTTTTATAGAGTGTGTCACTATATTACGCTGGAAAATTCGTAAACGAAGTAGTTTCTGAATATGTGCCGGGCTGTGTCGGGCTAAAAATGAAGGATTTTCGTAAACTAAAACCCAACCGCAAGATTTTCCCGCAAAAATTTTTAATCCATATTCACCCTTTGAATTTCTGCGAATTTTTGAAAATGAGCTTTGTTTTCAAGCAATAATCACGTACTTCCGAATTTTGGATCCTATATATTTCTCAGGTCAATAATGTGACTCAGCATTAAATGGAAGTCTTATGATACTTCTGGATGTCTTTGTATGGGATTCACACAGATTTGATTTGCGACGTTGCCAATTCTACATAACTTTTTAGAGTGTGCCACCGTACTACATTGAAAAATTTGTCCGTAATTTAGGCTCTTTTCAGACTAAATATGGATCCTTCCTGACACTATGAACCCTTCAGAAACCCTTCCCCACTCCAGAAGTGTCATAAGACTTCCATTTAATGCTGAGGCTCACATTATTGACCTGAAAAATAAATAGGATCCAAAATTCGGAAGTACGTGATTTTTACTTGAAAACAAAGCTCAATTTCAAAAATTCGCAGAAATTCAAAGGGTGAATATGGATTAAAAATTTTTGCGGGAAAATCTTGCGGTTGGGTTTTAGTTTACGAAAATCCTTCATTTTTAGCCCGACACAGCCCGGCACATATTCAGAAACTACTTCGTTTACGAATTTTCCAGCGTAATATAGTGACACACTCTATAAAAATTGACGTAAATTTGGCAACGTCACATATCAAATCTATGTGAATCACACACAAAGAACTCCAGGAGTGTCATGAGACTTCCATTTAATGCTGAGGCTCACATTATTGACCTGAAAAACATATAGGATCCAAAATTCGGAAGTACGTGATTTTTGCTTGAAAACAAAGCTCAATTTCAAAAATTCGCAGAAATTCAAAGGGTGAATTTGGGTAAACCATTTTTGCTGGAGACTCTTGCGGTTGGGTTTTAGTTTACGAAAATTCTTCATTTTTAGCCCGACACAGCCCGGCACATATTCAGAAACTACTTCGCTTACGAATTTTCCAGCGTAATATAGTGGCACACTCTATAAAAATTGACGTAAATTTGGCAACGTCGCATATCAAATCTGTGTGAATTACATACAAAGAACTCCAGGAGTGTCATGAGACTTCCATTTAATGCTGAGGCTCACATTATTGACCTGAAAAACATATAGGATCCAAAATTCGGAAGTACGTGATTTTTGCTTGAAAACAAAGCTCAATTTCAAAAATTCGCAGAAATTCAAAGGGTGAATATGGGTAAAAAATTTTTGCGGGAAAATCTTGCGGTTGGGTTCTAGTTTACGAAAATCCTTCATTTTCAGCCCGACACAGCCCGGCACATATTCAGAAACTATCTTATTTAAGCATCTTCATGGAAAATGCGCATTTTACTGAACGATTTGGCAACAGCATATACATGCCACACAATCAAATTTCTAATTATAGTAATATACGTGTAAAAAGGGACTACTTACCATGAATAATGGCTGCCAATAAGCCTGCAGATGTAGCTTGTACCTGTCACTGCATACACACTTTGATTGAAAAGCTGAACGTAAACAATACTGAACTAGAGCTAAGATGCGGGCGAAACCGCTGGGTTTACCCTTTTTTCCTCGACCATCCAGTAATATTAAGCGGATTCTGTTGTCACAATGTCATGCAGTAGATATCAGAGAATCATTATTTACCTGTTTTACCAAACTTTTACCAAATTTTTTTTTTGGACTTTTCGCCAGCTTTTCGGGTATAATATTCCACTGTGTGGCGTACCCAATACTGACCATCAACATACCATTCAGTGATGAACGAAGTTCTTGGAGGTTAGAATCTTATGGTCAAAACCATTGACGTATAATTCAATCTAGACCGTGCATAAGGAAACTTCAGCGAGACAATAGGCAACACGGATTGCAATATGTACCAAGACAATGGAAACGCCAGTCTTGCCCGTGCCGTTGCCTGGTACGCTTCATATATTCGGCTGTATCATCAAAGCTGAAGGCACGTCTTTACCCTGATTTACCCCCCTAGCTGTCTTACCTCCCCAGCCTAATGTTGGGCCTAGTGTGCGGTCTAGATTTTGTTATAAGTCACTAGTCTAAACCTGGAAATGTAAAATGGTCGGTTCTTTCAGTCATTTGTTGTTGATTATTTTTGGCACACAGTTGATGTCTATTGGCCGAAAAGTGCGCACAGTAGAAAATCAGTAGAGACCCTAACCCAACTTCTTGCTGAATGATACTTATCTAGAGCTCGTGCATTGTATGTTGAGACAAACGTCAATCTCCGATTAGCTCTGAATTTGCACCATTCAATAGATTAATACGTGCAGTCAGGTGGCACCACGGTTGAATTGTGACATAAAGGATACTTTGACGTTTGTCTCAACGTACGATGTGCGAGCTCTAACTTAGCTGATATTGCATCACCCCATGATGCCATGGTTTACTTGTGCAATCATTTGTGGTACTCATCTAGTTGCTTTTCATATTCAGAGTGCAGATCCATGTAGAGTCTGCGCGAACTAAGTTTACGCAGTACTGGACTGCGACAAAAGACCCTGTCCCTCCATTTACTTCACATGTAAAAGTGACGTCAGACGATCTTCTATCGCAGTCCAGAAGTGCGTAAACTTATTTGGCGTGGACTCTAGAGCTGGGCCATCGTATATTGAGACAAAAGTCAAATCCTGTTTACATCCGCTCCTATTAGCGGTGCCATCTGAATGCATGCTTTATCTTGTTGAGTGGTGCTGCTTTGGGAGAAAATGAAAGAATTTACAATTATCTCAACAAACGATTGGGGAGCTCTAAGTAGTAGGCACTTATTACATGATTCCCCTTTGAAAGGGAACCAAAATCTTTACATTTCACAAACTTTGCTAAATTACTGATTTTGCTCTCAACTCTGCGTCAAAATGTTAATGTCAGTTGTTTGTGTGAGAAATTTCCTCTGCCAAACAGCACATGATTAGAGACAGAATGTCTAATATAGCATTCGATAATGCAAATCGAATGGGAATTTTTGTGATTATTTCTCTGGAGCTGTAATTAAGGGTTTCAAAAATGATGTTTTCTAATTGCTGATATACAACTTAAGTAACCTTTCTCTTTGTTGAAAGTATACAATAAAATCAGTAATTCTGTGAAGTTGTTACTATCTATCAATATTTGGTCACTTTTGGGATGGAATAACCCTCAGGTAAGAACGGTAGGGCTTTTTCAAATCCAAAGAATACAACGGGTTACGGTGGAATGCTCTGGCATGGGTCTGTTATGACTTGAGAGGCGATCCACAGTTTTCTAACATTAATCCAAATACTTATGGTTGAGATTAGAATTGTTTACTGAACTGCAATGAAACGCTCCACACTCAATTCACAGAGGGCCTCCAACCATTTGATCGGAACGCTTGGAATGGGCCTGTAACCGTTATACTTAATTACTAACAATCATTGCTTTTCACTGCATTTTAGGCAATGGAGAATCTCATGTAACATGAATTTTCAGTTTCTGCATTGTATTTTAAAACTTAAGTCCCTCAAATGTCATTTCTGAACCTAAAGTTGGGGAAGGAAAAAAGGGACAAAAATATCACCTCAACCTAAATTTCTTGCATCATCAACATTCATAAGTATGACGATTATTTACTCTATTTATGTTGCAGCTTGACAAATTCAACCTAGAAAGTTCAGTCACCAAAAGATGCAATCCATTTAAACAAGTAAAAGCGATGAGTGGACAAAAATCTAGCTCAAAAGAAGCATCTTTCAGAGGAGTCCTTAAGGAGCTTAACTCACTTGTTGATAATTCTGACTTAGTTGAAGAGATCGAATCTCCTACTCCTGTAAAATCTTCATCTCCTACTCAAAATGAGAATCTTGCCGAGAAATCTTCATCTCCTACTCAAAAGGAGAATCTTGCCGACCCTTTTAAATGCTTCATGGTAAATCCCCAAGAAAAATCCAACAATAAAGAGATAAAATCGATCAGTGCTGAATCATCGCCTGATGTATCGTTGGCTATTCCACTAGATAACAATCTTGGTTCCTCTTCTCTCAAAGGAAGATGCAGCGCCTCTGGTACCTATGGAGTACAAGCCCACACTCTCCAGTGATTCAACAAGAGATAAGCTTCTTCAATTAAACGGTCACCTTACTGCTTGAAGTAAAAAGCGAGAGGCGACACAATTACCAAGAATTCACTCTTTAGCCAAATATTTTTCAAGTCTTTGCTCTTAGTCCAATCAATTTTCTTCTCAGTGTAGTGCCCAAGGAGAAAAAAACTTCGAGCATTAGACGAAAAGTTCAGGCCTTGTGAATATCTAAAGTTTTTCAAATAGTGGGTCCGAGAAATTGAAGTCCAGCTGCCGCAAATTGAACCATACATCTGAAGTACTTCGGTGTAGAATTGTAATACCGCAGTATCTCCATAGTACTTTAGATGTGTGTGATCATCTCAAGTTTCCGGATGCAAAATCTGAAGACTTTACATATCTTATGACCTGAATTTCGGGTCTCACGCTTGAAGGTCTTTTCTCCGTANAGTAGACTTTTTCAGGAAGGATTGCAATTTATCTAATTCCCTCATTTTCTTACATGTGTTCACAGGACTCCCTAACGGCACAATTATCAATATACAAATTCAGAAGCGCTCTGGAATATTTTGAAGGAAAGTTTTGCCCTCTCTCATGTTCTCAATTGAAGAAAGAAGCGAAAACAATATTAAAAAGTGACCCAGAAGAAACTCGCTTGACTGAAATCAATAAACAATTCGAGGAGTACAGCGCGAAGTTCCCCATAAAAAAAATTCCGTCAGTTGCTTATACAGAAGAAATTTACTGTCGCGAATTGAAATGGTTATGGATACTTAAAAATAGATCTGAGGAGTTTGAAGTACGTAAAGTCAAAGGTATCTTAGACGGGAAAAAAATGAATCCTAAGAACTTTGCAGAATACATTGGAATTGGTTACTATTTTCTCTCAGAGGATATTCACAACGCTGTATTCAGTAAATTGCCCTGTGAGAGTGGCCCAGGGACCTGGCACCCAAGTCGAGGGCGCTGACAAAACCCATACGTCACGGGACTGGGCAGCGGTGAAGCACCCCCAGCGAGAGGGCAGAGGGGTAGCATCCCTTTTGCGCATGCGCAGGGCGAGGCTTGACCGGTTCCGAGTCAAGTGGAGGGGGTAGCCAGAGCCGGAGACCATGGACCAAATAAAAGCTTCGCTTTAGGACTCCTCACAAGTGTCCTCGGTTCTGATTCTGCTGTTGCGAGCGCTCTCCAACAGAAGTCCCCGAAACTAAAGTCCCACTTGTTAGTTTGTCTCAGGGTCTAAAGAGTTCGCTGATCATGGGGCTGGCCATGCCGGAGCCGTTAGGAGGACAGCAGGACTTGAGACCGATTTCAAATTTCTAGGAAAGAAAGAAAATGCTAGATTTCCGATTCGCGATTTCGTGAAGACATCTTGATTTTTTGAGTGCCTTTTTCTTCTTTCGGTCTTTTTTCTCGTTTTTCACAGTTAGTTCTTCACTTCATAATGGAGATTTTAGATACTGGTTAAGATTTGTTGTGTTTCTTGTGTGAATAGTTGTATTTGGACAGTTTTTCTCTAGTGTGTAGATATCAAGAAGAAATGTCTCGTTTGCAGCCGGACTGCCGAGGAGAACATCTCTCTTTTCTCATTTCCTTCTCAGGAATTGAGGTAAGATTATCATGAATTATTATCATCTAATCGTCTAAGTTTTGCACTTTTAGTGTTGCTACTCAATGAGCATGAAGCGTGAGTACCTTATCCCTCACCATTCCCTCCCTAACATCTAATTTCTCTCTCCTCTATAAGCCTAAATCTTACACTCATCACAATGTGTATTCATCCTTTTAGTTAGGATCTTATTATTGTTGCTCAAGGAACGATTAAATTTTTAGCAATGTTCGATCTGTCAGTGAACTTAGTGCAATGATAATCTTAAAGCTTTTTCTTCACTGATTGGAGAATCCACCCGTAGAAATCCATTGCGCACCATTCTTGGACAACTTTGCCTCGCATTCTTAGTTTGTTTTTTTTTTTAGTCCATGATAAATAGTCAAGTCTGAGGGCTTACTCTGTCCAGAGAATTATGTAATTGAAGTATATTGATCTTGATATGAAGTCATTCGCTTATAACAGTTATCAATCAGCTAACAGAGAGCTATCAATTGTACATTTTGCGACCGATGAAGAGGTCTTTTTGATTATTTGTATAATTCTTACACTTCTTCCAGACAGTAAGTATATGTAAATTTAAGTAGGGAATATTTTTCTCATTATAGGTTTCAAAAATGGCTTGAAGCCCTTCGTCTTCCTTCTGTGAAGAGATCAACTCAACGGGTTTGCTCTCTTCATTTCAAGGAGGAAGACTTCCTCGTTTTTTCTCCGTTCATCAAGAGACGAAATGCTGATGCCATACCAAGTGCTGACCTGTTTAACTGGACCCTGCATGAGGTATCAAGTAACTCATGTAACGAGAATGCAACCTTCGCTGTTTCCTCTACAGCCACATCTGTTCTGTCACCAAACTCGCCTCATGTTAATAAGAAATTTATCACAAAAACCTATGGTAAGTGTGCACTTTTGCTAGGGACTAGGAACAATACACCGCTCTCTGCCTTCAAGTCATTATTAATTTTTTCGGTATCCACAACCTTTTTTCATGTATAAATCCTCGTAATTATAAGAGCCCCCACGCCCCTAATGTAAATTCCTGTATGACCTAAAGATTTAGAGATTTTATAGGAAAAAAAGGTGGTATTTTAAATGGACAGCCTATTTTCCACATTCTTTTATTAATTATGAACCCGAAATATTTAATTTCTTTAAAGTAAGTCCAAGGTGTAACAAAAGAAGGCAGCTGCAGTTTCAAGCATACTGTGAACATCATGTTCGGAAGTAGCATTCCAAGGAATGTTTGATCTAATAAGTTTTCTTCTAACCATTAGACTCTTTTTTATTCTGTACTATCCTGGAGTAATCTGAATGAGAAGTGAATTAATTCTCTTTTCTGGTCCTCAATCCTTGGTTAATGCAGTTTTTGTTTCCTTTCTCTTGCAGAGCTTAAAAGTAAGAGATCAGCAGCTGACAATAGTCTTAAGAACAATAAGTTAGTGAATTCAAGACCGGGGTCTGAAAGATCCCATGTATCTGCCATCTGCAGCCCTAAAAATATAAGTAAGTCTATCTGTATTTTTATTGCTTCTTGCTTTCTTCTTATCTGAATTGTCCTATATTGATGGTGTATGCTTCAAATCACGGATCTCGGTTTGCGTAAGTAGGAGACTTTGCAACATATTTTTTGTCCTTATAGGAAAACAAGTAAACATTTTTCCTCGAACTTTCATCTGATTTTTCTGTGCCTTCCTAAAAACATTGTGTAAAAATTTCAGATGATGATGTCAGTTTGTTTTCCTTTGTGAAATCAAAGTAAGCACGCACATTTTGAAACACTGCAATCCAGATATGAAGCTTTGGACATATATTATCGTGTCATTGTTTTTGTATATAATCATAAAAATTTTAAGAAAAGAAAGCAAGTGGATGAAACGTGAACTGCCTCTACCCATTTTATTAGTCAAAAATGTATTAATTGGTTACTTCTCTTTTCTGCAGATCTAATGAAAGAAAGCCAATCTGAAACAACTGCAGCTGTCAGTCTGTCTGAAAACATTGTTGCCAGCCCCTTCTTGAAAGCCAGAGAAGTAGAAGCAGGGTTGATTTTCTCTCCCGGAAATAATATTTTCACTGTCACAAGCTCTGACCACACAAGTAAGTTTCTCTCTTATCTCAGCTGCTATGTTTCGATATTCTTCTTGTAGATTTAGTACCGCAAGCGAAACATTTTCTAAATCTGTTTAGTAACTGTCAATGGTTCTTCGATCTGCCACCGGTGGACTTTCAGTTGAGTTAGATTCTGCTCGTTAAACATTTTTCTTGCGATCTGCATTATCTCATAACCCTCATTTACAGTGGATGCCAAGATGTTGGCAGTAAGCTTTTCATGTGTCCGAGGGTGCGTTGGTAAAGTAGCCTAGGGTTCTTAGAACCCCTAGTACTCTAGAACCCAATGGAATTCAAATACTTTAAGCTAGTTTGCCACAAAAAAGTGCAATCGCAGCCCTCCATAAGTTACAATTTGGAGAGTAAAAGAAAGGAAAAATTAATTTCTACCATCATTTTTTTAGGAAACCCCAAGCCACAACATGCTTTTTCTGCACAACAATCCCTGAAGCGTCTTAGAGATGATGAGAGCAATGCTACAACAAATAAGAGTTCCCTTCAAGGTTTGTACCCTTTCATTTTTTTATTTGTTCACCTCCGAAAACTTTGTGCTAAGATTTCACTGCATGCTAACTTAAAATAACAAGGTAACAAGTCTCTAGAAAGTTTTAAGACCGGAAATAATAAAACCTCCCTTCGGCGTTGGAGATTTCGTGTTAGTGCATGTACCAGCCAGAACAAAAGGAATGTGCGAGAAACTGAGAATTAAATACAGAGGACCCTTCCAAATTGTAGAGCAAATCTCTCCTGTAAAGACAAACAAACGCGGACGAGAGAAAACGGAAATTATCCAAGCAGATCGGCTCAAAAAGTATCAGTCAAGAGAAGAATAGAGTCAGCTGAGATGGGCTCTCGCACGTGTGCGGCGCGACGAAGACCGGCCAGACAGATCGGAGCCAAGCGACGCATTACCATAGCAACCAAAATAGCTAAAAATGAATGAATCAAGGCAGACACATGGGTTGCAACAAAACAATGGATTACAACGATCGAGCAACCGAGGCGCAGCCTCTTCGAGAAATCGCCCCCTCCCTCCCACCTAGGAGGCCTTTCCAAAGGCCACGGGCAAAACAATGACCAGCCTCCCTTCGGAGTTGCGTTAGCCCTATTAGGCGTGAAATCACACATGTGTTACCGAGCGCAGTCAAGACAAAAGGAATTGAAACACATTCCCGTGAATTCCGGCATCAGCGAAGCAAGGCCTCGGACCAACTAGGGATGCAACCAGAAAAGTGGAAG